GGTCCCGTATGTACTGTCATACAAGAGTACGTACGGCTCGTATTCGTACGGCCGTATACACTGGCCTAGGATAATAGAATAATACAATATGATATTTCCTTTTAAAAAGAAAGGAAAAAGTTGATATTGCCAGAACCTACAGGGCCATGATACACGTTTTTAATAAGTTTTTATTCTTTTCTGTGCGTAAATTCATCACCGAAATTCAAATTCATAGTTCGTCATGTGCAGTTAAACCACTACCTCTGCTTCCCTGGAGCACAACACCAGGTTATTATGACTGCATTTACCTACCTACCCGGTCATCACAACTGCATCTAGTCAGGAATGTTGCTCCTGTACATTCACAATGAATGGCCATCCCTGCATTCAGGGAAGAAGGTGTTACTGTTCGCGATGGGACCTGACTACCCGAAGGTCTGGCATTTTTTAATTTTTTTTCCCTCATGGACCATTTCTCGATTTGTACGTGTCATCCTTGCGCAGGGGCCATGCTTATCTTCTCTCTCTGTGTATCGTTCCAATTTTAACGGATGTCCCGAAGGACGGCCTGGCTTTTTTCAGTTTGTCTGTTTGCTTAAATAATCGGCATAGTCCGAGGTTTTTCTTCGTGTCTGCAGGCGGGTTGCTGGGGGAAGGGGGGGGGGGGGGGGGGGGGGGGGGGGGGGGGGGGGGGGGGGGGGAAAGGGAGGGGAGGGGAATTACCTGATGTAGGCTGTTGGAGCATTAGCCCTAGAGACTTGGAACCGGGTCCAGTCAACTAAATTGAAACAAAAATAAAATAGAAAAAGATCATTAAAAAAAAATAATAAAAAAAAAATCATTGAGAGACTCAGAGAGAGTGAGATAATTATGTCTGATAGAAGTTAAGGACAGGGCACGTACCTGATTGATTTTGTTCAAGTCGGTCTCATACTCTGCACAGACAAAGACAAATAACTGCGCGCTCGAAAACGACCACACACACACATCACCAAACAAAGAAAGAAAAAAGAGAGAAAAAAAAAGAGGGAAAAAAAAAAAAAACAATGCACAGCACACACAGACAGCCAAAAAAGGAAATCCATACCAGGGTCAGAAATATCTTCAAAGAAAACAAAAAGGAAGTCCGCGCATGACAGACAGCAGCTCTGAGTTACGATAATGGACCTCGCTCCAGTACACAACACAACACTCGACATGTATCTGGAGCAGATAATCGTCCCCATACATTCAAAATGTGGGACTGGTCCAAATGTACCTGGTCCAGAAAGCATCCAAACGCATGTAGAATGTTGAGCCGCGGAGGGAGGGGAGGGCGGGGGGGGGGGAGAAGAAGGGGAGAGGAAGAACCACACTAGCACATTCTCCAGAAGGAACAGTTGTCACTGTACATGGATGTCGAGCGGTATGCTGTCCAGATACGTTCCCGCCGCTGCGCCCTTCCTTTTTTTTTCTACACACCCGGAGGGATGTTTGCAATTTTGCACCGATTCAAGGGCCAAGGGCCAGTGGAAAAAGAGGATAGGTCGGGCTGCTTCTCTCCGAAATGAAAAAGAACATGACTTCTACTTGTACTGAATGAGCTCCTCCATTACAAAAACAAGTGGACCCCGCCACGGCTACGCTGTGGCGCACAGCAACACCCGCTGATGGCGTCTTATTTTTGTTTCATGTCTCTCTCTCTCTCTCTC